AAAATATTAGGCAGGCATGGTGGTGGATGCCTGTAATCCCAGCTACTCAGGAGGCTGAGATAGAAGAATCACTTGCACCCAGTAGGCAGAGGTTGCAGTGAGCCAAGATTACGCCACTGTAGTCTAGCCTGGACAACAGAGCAAGATTTCATCTCAAAAAAAAGGTCGTTGAATGAATAAATTCAGTATGGATCACTGAAATGGGAGATGTTAGCTATCTTCCCTGTCCTTAGCCAAGGGGTTTTGCCTGTATTCACATCCTTACCCCACTCAGGAATCCACCTCACCTGAACATGCATGCACAGACCTCCAAACAGCAGCAGCACTGCAGCATGGACCAGGTACACAAACACCTGAGGACTGAGGAATCCAAGATCGGGCTTCTTTAGGGTCTTATTGTTCTTGCTCCTTTGCAGCCCAAGTGTAAGGCAGAGCCAAGGGTGGGTGGTCACATATGTCCAAGTTGCCCAGGCAACCAGTATAGCCACTGGTGTAGCCAGTAGAAAATTGGGCACCTGCCTGAGCTCATAGTATTTCAAAAAGCCAACATTCCAGTAGACATCCTGGATATAGCTGTACATTAGTGGAACATCCCAGAAGCACCAAGGCGGTTCATTTCCCTCTGCAATCCGGTAGTCCTTGTCTACAGCTAACTGTATCAAGGGCTCAGGAATGGGGCGGGCTGAGCCTGGCAGACAGAATTGAGTGTAGGCATAATACTGAAAGAGGGCAAAGGGAAGGCCAAGTGTGAACACTGACAGAAACAGAGAGGCCATCAGCTTAAGGAGCTGTCTCAGGGGATTCAGCATCGTAAGAGAAGAGAAAAAGCCTTGGCACTGAGAATGCATGAGGAAGCCAACATTGACCAGCCCGTTGGAGCGCACCCCAGTAGCAATGGCAAAGAGGAGTCCACTAGTCCAGACTCGGCCCCTCTCCAGCTGCCCCATGGCGCTGAATGTCAGGAGGGCAAACAAAGCTTCTGAGTAACCGGCTGCCAGGAAGACATTGGCAGGGCTGAGACAGAAGAGCAGAGCTGCATAAAAGGCCTGGCGGGGACAGTGCAAAACCAGACAACCCAGGTCATGAAGAGCAACTGCAGCCAACATGAAGAACAAGAAATTGAGTGATGCGGCTGAAATCAGCAGGCAGCTGCGTAGACTCAGTAACCCCCGTAAGGGTCTCAGCAGTTCAGTCCCCACCAGCAGAGCCAAGGGGAAACCAGGAAAGAAGGCAAAGTTGTGCTCATACAGATAGCCATGCTCGGCAATGAACAGGAAGTGTTCAGCATCCCAGCGAGACAGGCCACCCAGAAGACCTTCCACAAGTTGGTCCACAAAGCCTAAGGGGGCCAGACGAGGAGGAGAGAAGGCTTCTGCATGGTGATCTGGGATGATGGCATTGAAGAGGGCCTGTGGAGTAAAGAAAAACCAGGATTTGGGTTGAGTAACTGGAAGAAAAGAATTGTCATTTAATAAAATGAGGAAGAAGACCAGGCTCATGCCTATAATCCCCACTTTGGTAGGCTGAGATGGGAGGATTACTTGAGCCCAGGAGTTCATGACCAGCCTGGGCAGCACAGCAAGACCTTGTTTCTACAAAAACTAAAAAAAAAAAGGCTAGGCACAGTGGCTCACACCTGTAATCCCAGCACTTTGGGAGGCTCAGGTGGGAGGATCACTTGAGTCTAAGAGTTTGAGATCAGTTTGGGCAATGTAGCGAGACCTTGTCTCTACCAGAAATTAAAAAATAAAAATTAGCTGGGTGTGGGGGCACATGCCTGTAGTGCCAGCTACTTGGGGGGCTGAAGTAAGAGGATTGGTTGAGCCCAGGAGGTTGAGGCTGCAGTGAGCTGTGATTGTGCCACTGTACTCCAGCCGGGGTGACAGAATGAGACCCTATTTAAACAAAAGAAGAGATCTGAGGACTGAACCCTGGACATGTTAATATATGAAGGCTAGGAAGAGAATGAAAATCCAGTAATGAAGAAAAAAGAACAGTCGGTGAGGTGGCAGGGAACCCAAGAGAGCACTAGAACCAAGGGAAGAAGAGTAATCAACTCTATAAATGCTGCTGGTAGGTCAAGTGTTAGTCAAGGTTAATTTTCAGACTGAAAACTGACCACTGGATTTAGCAAGGTGAAGGTCACTGGTGACTTTGACCAGGGCTATTTCAATGGAACAGAAGAGAGAGAAGCCTGCCTAGACTGGGAAGAGAAACTCTGAGGAGTAAGGGGAAGCAGACAAATGGGGTAGTAGGTGAACAAAAATGTGGGGTTAAGAGAAAACTTTTTTTTAAGGTGGGAGATAAGGCTTTGTATGTTAGTGGAAATAATCCAGGGAAAGGGTATGCAGGAGAGAGGGGAGAATTGCTGGGTAGGCAAAAGGGATGGAATCTGCCACAAAGGAAGAGGAGCCAGCCATAGGGAAGAGGACAGATAATTGATCCAACCTTCAGTACTGAAAGCACAAAGGTGCAGACATAGGTAGGCTGAAGAATGTGGTGGGTGCATATGGAAGGTCTCTTCTAATGCCCTTTATTTTTCTGAGTTGTCATTCAGGAAAACAAGTTGGTAAGTGTTAAACATGTTTTTCTCTTTCCTCAAATCTCTAACACGTTTTCCCCAGTACTCACTCTCAAGGGATAGCCTCTTTCTTTTTTTTTTTTTTTTTGAGACGGAGTTTTGCTCTTGTTACCCAGGCTGGAGTGCAATGGCGCGATCTCGGCTCACCGCAACCTCCGCCTCCCGGGTTCAGGCAATTCTCCTGCCCCAGCCTCCTGACTCGCTGGGATTACAGGCACGCGCCACCATGCCCAGCTAATTTTTTTTCGTATTTTTAGTAGAGACGGGGTTTCACCATGTTGACCAGGATGGTCTCGATCTCTTGACCTCGTGATCCACCCGCCTCGGCCTCCCAAAGTGCTGAGATTACAGGCTTGAGCCACCGCGCCCGGCCTGGGATAGCCTCTTTCAGGACATGCACACATCATCTTCGTTAATAATGAAACTAGGCCGGGCGCGGTGGCTCACGCCTGTAATCCCAGCACTTTGGGAGGCCGAGGCGAGTGGATCACGAGGTCAAGAGATCGAGACCATCCTGGTCAAAACGGTGAAACCCCGTCTCTACTAAAAACTACAAAAAAATTAGCTGGGCATGGTGGCGCGTGCCTGTAATCCCAGCTACTCAGGAGGCTGAGGCAGGAGAATTGCCTGAACCCAGGAGGCGGAGGTTGCAGTGAGCCGAGATCGCGCCATTGCACTCCAGCCTGGGTAACAAGAGCGAAACTCCGTCTCAAAAAAAATAAATAAATAAATAATGAAACTAGCCAGGCGCTGTGGCTCATGCCTGTAATCCCAGCACTTTGGGAGGCCAAGGTGGGTGGATCACCTGAGGTCAGGAGTTCAAGACAAAGCCTGCCCAACATGGCGTCTCTACTAAAAATACAAAATATTAGCCGGGCATGGTGGTAGGTGCCTGTAATCCCAGCTACTCGGGAGGTTGAGGAGGCTGAATCGCTTGAACCCAGGAGGTGGAGGTTGCAGTGAGCCAAGTTCACACCACTGCACTCCAGCCTGGGTGACAAGAGCAAAACTCCGTCTCATAAATAAACAAATAAATAAATAATAATGAAACCGCTAGGAAATCAACAGAAGTAGTACTGGGAAGAGTGACATTGAACCAGGAGCTAAAACCGTCAAGGATTAGCTGTCATTGACAGAGATGACAGCAACAACAAAGGGTAATTTAGGGATATAATCTGATGGCTTGAGTGTTTAAGCTGGAAGTGGGAGGATGATAATGAAATAGGATTTACTGTTAAATGTCTTTTTGCTGGCCGGGCACGGGCTCACGCCTGTAATCCCAGCATTTTGCAGGCCAAGGCAGGTGGATCACGAGGTCAGGAGTTCGAGAACAGCCTGGACAACATGGTGAAACCCCGTCTTTACTAAAAATACAAAAACTAGCTGGGCGTGGCCGGGCGCAGTGGCTCAAGCCTGTAATCTCAGCACTTTGGGAGGCCGAGGCGGGTGGATCACAAGGTCAAGAGATCGAGACCATCCTGGTCAACATGGTGAAACCCCGTCTCTACTAAAAATACAAAACATTAGCTGGGCATGGTAGCGCGTGCCTGTAATCCCAGCTACTCAGGAGGCTGAGGCAGGAGAATTGCCTGAACCCAGGAGGCAGAGGTTGCGGTGAGCCGAGATCGCGCCATTGCACTCCAGCCTGGGTAACAAGAGTGAAACTCCGTCTCAAAAAAAAAAAAAAAAAACTAGCTGGGCGTACTGATGGGTGCTTGTAATCCCAGCTACTTGGGAGGCTGAGGTGGAAGAATAGTTTGAACCCAGGGGGCGGAGGTTGCAGTGAGCTGAGGTCACATCATTGCACTCCAACCTGGGCGACAGGCTGAGACTCTGTCTCTAGAAAAAAAAAAAAAGAAAAAAGAAAAGTCTTTTTGCCCTATTAGATTATTACTATTACTAGATAATTACTATAGGTATTTTAAACATTTTTAGTGGTTGAAGGAACTGCCTAGAGGAAATACACTATTTCCAAAATTACCACCTGATTTAGAACCCGGCTGTCCTGGTTCCCTATCCTGGACGCTGACTTGCAGCACTGCTCCTTTGGTTCTGCCAGGAAGCCAGCTGATGCTGGTTGAGAAACATCACTGAGTAAAGTCTCCCTAGCTGGCAACAAGAGCATAGCCCCATTTTTAAGGCTTTTTCACTTTTTGGTCAGTTTCCTTATCAGGCCACTTCAAACAGTAAAAACAAACACGACAGGAGTGACAGTCATAGATAAACAGCCCTAGCCTGCAGGTGGACAAGTTTAACTAATCTCAAAACACAGCAGAGGCTGCTACACCTTATATAGTGGGAAAGGAGGGAGGAAAGGTTTCCACAAAGGAACCAGCTATAAGCCTCAGAGAATGGTACTGGGATAAAAGGCACACATAACTATGTGAATTTAACACCCCTAAGTGTTGACATATATTCAACAACATTCATTCATTTATGAATAAACTGAGCTAAGCATCAGACACTGTGCTAGGCGGCAAATAATTCATATATACATGACATTTTATTAAAATATGTATCAAGCCTCGGAGGGGAAAGGGAGCTGTAAAAGGGCAAGTGCACTGAGAGCTGTGTGTGGGTGAGGCAGGAAAGGGAGGCACTCGGGGGAATAGGAGGAATCATTATATATCCAGATGGTCTCAGGACTTGTACATTGCCACGTCTCTCACACTCAACTGACTGACACAATGCTCAGTCTCCTGGTAAGGGGACACAGAGCAATACTTTGAGCTGTCACACCATACAAGCATCTCTGGTTACAGAACATCACAGTCTGTTGGAGAGACCACTAGCTCAGGAGTTTGGAAACACGGGTCAAACTCCAGCCCTTCTCTATCTTCCTATGTGGCTTTAGGGATGTCACTTAACCTTTCTGGGCCTCTGCTGCTTCATGTGTAAAACAGAAGATTAACAGACCATGTTTCTAAGATTCCTGACCACTTTTCAGCTCTAAGTATGTCCCTATGGTTCCAACCACATGGACGGACACACCTGGGAGGTGGAAAGGAGATGGGGACTCTTTCTTACCGCCTAGTCCAGTCATGTAGCAATGGCACATTCAGGACAAAGGATGGGAGACTGACCTGGAGTATCAGAGTCAGGATACGGCAGCTGACTGCAAACCTCAGCACCTCCTTCCGGGATGGATCCTGGGGCCACATCCTCTCACCACCAGGAATTCAGGGGTGTTGCTACCAGGATTGAGCTCCCTCAGGCTTCTAAACCCCAAAGGAGGAAAATGTCACACATCAGGTGAAAGCAAATTCTTGAAAGCATTCTTCATTGGGACCTCCCCTCTCAGAATTACTGACAAACTTAACCAGTCACCTAACTTCCCAGATGAGGGGAAAGCATCTTGACAGTAAATGGGTTTCGCAGGTGTCACTCTGAAGCACCGAATTCTCATTGGGAAAGTTCCATACAGATAAGCAGGTAGCTGGAAAGCCAAGGTCACAGAAAATCTTTTAAAGCCTCTTGAATGCACCTCTGCAGGAGCAAAAGATCTGGGTTCAAGTCCTGACTCCGTTGCTTACAAGTTCTTATTAGTCTCTCTGAGCCTCAGTTCTTTATATAAAAAATGGGAGCAAACTTTTTTTTTGTCTATCTCACAAAATTGTCATGATGGTGAAACAGACCAAAGTGTGAAGTTCTACTCAAATCTATGTTGTGGTTGTTATTATTTGGTGTGTGCCCTTTTCCTCTTGCCCAGAATAATAAACGAGGTCCCAAACCAGAGTCCCCAAAGTGGGGCATAAAACCATACTGGAAGACCATAATGACTACACACTGTAGCTTAGCTCTCTGATGTGTGTTCAGCTGGTCTGTTAAGTGGGAAAGGAAAAGAAAACCACCACTCAGCAGGACCTCAGCCAGCTCACACTGCTGAAACAGAGTAGACTACCAGGGATGAGGAAAACTGTTATTTTCCATCTCTTTGTTGGGATGGTAGCAATGTATAAACAACTGCAAAGCCACTCAGAGGCAAGGAACGCACTTTAAAGCATCTTTTACAATTCCTTAGGCTAAAAGAAGTCATAATGGCTCCTTAAGAACTTTCAAACACCAGCCTGAGAAATTCAAAAGGGAAGCAAAAGCATCAGAGGCAGCTCATCAATTTGAAGTGAAGAACTATGCCTAAAAGAAAAAAAAATTTGATCTGAAAAATTTGAGGGCTGGAAGACTCTTTCTTATCTGGCAAATACCAACCAAACTTGTAGTTATCACTTGTTTCTGAAATTCTCTGATCCTCACTAGCCAGTGTGCTATGCTCTCGCTACATTCTGCCCTATTTCCTTTATTGCTATTGCTTAAGTTGCTAAGGGCAGAGGCTTTTTATCACAACTATATCCCAGGGCCTAGAACACAAACAGGCATCTTAAACTTGTGTTCTGAATGAATCGAAGTGGTAGGGACCGGATACAGCATCAGCAGTTCACTGACTCTAGATATGAAATCACTGACCCACGTATTCTTCCCATCAAATCTCATGTCAAGAGCAAGACGACAAAGTCACAGAAGCCACAGGAAAATAAAATTTTCCCAGAAAGGGAGCCAAGTTGGCCAATGGCAACAGTACTCTTTCCTCGGCACAAGGGGGCGCCTGCTGCCTACTCCATCGCCAGGAGGCCTGGAGGAAGGGAGGGGCCCCCAATTCCACACCGGTTGGCTCACGAAAATTCAGTTCAAAGACAAGTTTCTGAAAGCCCCAGAGAGGAGCGGTCGTTCTTGAATCTACCCAACGTTTCCAACATATGACTCGCTGAATCGAGAGAAATCACGTAAATAGGCACACCCAACCTCACACGGCTACTCCTTCCCTGTCCTACGGGTGAATTCACTTTTTTTTTTCCCTTCCTTGGCTTCACACTGGCACGCAGAAGATAACTTGGGAACAGAAAAGCACTTAACCCACCTATGCCACTTGACCATGTTTGCATTCTTCCTTTCCTCTCTCGGAGTCAGACTCTAGCCTCAGAGACTACAGATGTGTAGCCCACACTCTGCTTACAGGTAAACCAAGTAAAAACAAAGCCAGTCAATTCTTCCTCTCAGCTAATTGCTAACCTCACTTCCCAACAACCCCTTTGCCAAATCACGGACTCTTAACTGGGAGGACACTTACAGATCAACTAGTTTCACTCTTTAAACATTTTCCCGTGAGACAAACAAGCCCCAGAGATCTCATCAGACACTATGAGGCCAGTATAATTACCATCACCATTTTATGGAGGCTCATTTTAACTGAGGCTCACTGGGGTCAAGTGACGCACGCAGGGATACTTAAAGAGGCTGTCATGTTTTTTGCTTCTTAAACCTGACGGTAACAGCCTGCATCCCTCGCCAATGAGTATGCGCCCTTTCAGAGCCAGGATTATGACCCAGGTCACCCAAACGCCTAGCCCAGTACTTCCATACCAGAGCCTGCCCTTTCTGGCTATGCTTAGGGTAGCTGGGCCCTATCTGAGAATTTGGGACATCCTGCTGAACTGCAACTCTGGACTCTCTGAGTAAGACCAACACCCACTGCGTGGGCTAGAGAAGTCGCTCTAACCCAGGGTCCTTAGAGCCAAAGGCCTCGTGGGCCGCCTTCTGTCAGCCCAGCCGTGTCCGCAGCCCGTTTCTGGTCGGCTCCTTTTGGAAACAGTCCCTTCTGGGGACTAATCATTGACTCTCACCCAAGATGGGCCCACGGCCCACGGACCACTCCCGAGGGAGTCTGCGGAGCCCCACCAGACTACAGGGCCGGAAGCAGGCGAGGGCGGGAGGCTGGAAAGGAAGAGGCGGCGCCCGAGGCCGCGATGGCGGAGGGGCGGGGCTCCCCGCTTCTCTGGGCCTCTATCTCATTTCTGCATGCCTCCATTTGACAGCTTCCCTCCCGCCAGAACTCCAGGGCTCCCAAGCTAGCGCCGGGTCCTTAGCGCCTGCCCGTCCCGACCTTTCCAGCGAGGACCGAACCTCAGCTCCTCCATCCGGGACCCACGCGGCCCGCGCCTGCGCGCTGGCTCCGCCGACGGCGTCGCCGCCCCGCTCCTGCCCGGACTTGGAGCAGCCCCGCCTCCCTCCGGGCCGGCCATGTTGACTCCGGGCGAGCGGGGCGGGGGACACCGCTCGGCGCCTCGGCGCATAGCATCTTCCCACCTTGGTGACACCTGAAGAGTTCTCTCGCACTTCGCTCTCCTTCAATGCCCCCCGCCACCCCGCCTTCAAATAGTGAGCCAAGGCTGCTGTTTGAGTCAGTGGTCTTGCCCCAGTTCCTTCCCGCTGACATTCACTTGAGTTCTCGGTGTGGGCTGAGGCTCTAGTAGTTGGGGGCTGACCCGCAGCCTCTTCACAGAAGCCGGAGCCGCGCTCTTCCTGCTGTCAGGCAACAACAGCTCAGCACAGGGCCTGGCACACAATAGATGTCCTCTGAATAGCCAAAGAAAAGCATTCTTGGGGTTTCTGTGGCCGGCAGCGGCACCCTGCGTCCTGGGTGTGAAGAAAGTGGGGGATCCCCTGATTTTCCCCTCCTCTAGCTACCAGAGACCTTCTGTCCTACTTCAGTCCTCTGCCCCTCCTCAGATGGCTAATGAGGATGGTGAGGAAAACCTCAGAGAACACCCTCCAGGACTTCTTTCACCTCCCTCACTCAAGCAGTTTCTCTCTTTTTGGGGCCAAAAAAGAAAAAAAAAAGAGGCGAACTCAACAAAACCGTTTATGGTGGGGAGCGGCCAGTTGGTACCCTTGTAACGGAATCTGTTAGAACAACTTTACACCCTCCTTAAAGGAAACAGATGATAAATCCTTCTCCGTTGGTGGATTTCTTGTTTCTCAGGATTCCAAAGCCTTTTTGTGGTTTCAGTTATCTGCCCTCTAAACGAAGCCAGGGTCCGTGTTAGCCTCTGGCCACAGCCTGGCTCTGGGAGGGGTTTATCTTCTGCAACAGCTACTCATGTGGGTGGGAACAAAGAGATGATTGCTACCTCTCCAGGGGAAGACCAGCCCACATCAGTCTGTGGGGGCCTGGGACTCTATCTCTTGACCCTTTATAACTCATTTCAGTCCCTGAGACGTAAATCGCCTTCAGATATTTGTTGTGTGCAAGGTGGAGAAAGTACAAATCACACTTAGTCGTTGTGTGTTGGAGAAGGGGGAAAAAAATGGAGTTTCATGGCCATTCCCCCAGGTATTTCAGTGCCACTGACTTGTTCTCAGCTCCAGAGGCCAGTGAGTGACATGGCAAAGCCTGGGGGCACACTTGTGACTAGGGCCTAAGGCTGTGACTTGAAACTCTAGAAGTCCACCATAAGGCTCCAAGCAGCACTCTCTTGCAAAGACAAAACTGAGAAATGAACTGTCCTTGCTCTGTAAATTCACAAGGGGAAAAAGACATGCATTCTCAGGGTTCCCTCTGTCCACACCAAATTCTCTCAAAAATCTATTTGTAAAAATGCCAGGGGTCTCGAGACAAGTCAGAATGTTTTTTAAAAGCTAAGCTGTCACCCTGTAGAGGTAGAACTTTATCCAGATTTTCAGCTGTACTTTCCTGCAATTTCTTCTTTCCTTCTCTGCTACCCAACCCCCTCCTCTTCCGCTCTGTTTCCTGTTTCATTTTCTGGCTTCTGCTCTGACAGGAAAACAAGGAAGCTGAATCTTGTGCTCTCAAAGCCCTGACTCTCTGGTTTCAGATTGGAAGAAGGCTAGATGGAATAGGAGGGGATTCTGGGGCTCCAAGGCTGTGAGTAGTGAAGGAGGCAGCCTCTCCGTGTGCTTGTAGAGTCTGCAGCTAAGATGGAGCCTGCATCTACCCAGGGAGCCAGCTGAGCTACCAGAACTGTGGAAAGCAAGTGAGACAGAGCTATATCCCAGGGCTCCAGAAAGGTTCCACACTTCCCAACCACTTCCATTAAGAAACACATATGCCACCTCACAAGAAACAGTATCACATACAAATCCCTAACCTGGACAATGCAAGCCATGCATTACTATTCTAGAAGCTTAGAATTTAAGAGGGTTACATCATTTCTGTTCTTTGGACTTGCCTAGCTCTGCTCTTGCTATTTTCCCTGCTTGAAGCACTCTACCACTAGACCACCCTTTGGCTAGCCCATTGTGTTTGGGTCTCAGGAGTGATGTCACCTCCTCAGAGAGGCTTTCCCTGTACTATCTCTTCAGTCTGTTTAAAAAAAAAATGAGGTCTTGGCCGGGCACCATGCCTCACGCCTGTAATCCCAGCACTTTGGGAGGCAGAGGTGGGTGGATCATCTGAGGTCGGGAGTTCAAGACCAGCCTGGCCAACATGGCAAAACCCCATCTCTACTAAAAAATACAAAAATTAGCTGGGCGTGGTGGCAGGCGCCTGAAATTCCAGCTACTCAGGAGGCTGAGGCAGGGAGAATTGCTTGAACCCAGGAAGTGGAGGTTGCAATGAGCTGAGATCACACCATTGCACTCCAGCCTGGGCGACAGAAGTGACACTCTGTTTAAAAAACACACACACACACAAATGATGAGGTCTCACCATATTGACCAGGCTAGTCTGGAACTCCTGGGCTCAAATGATCTGCCCACCTTGGCCTCCCAGAGTGCTGGGATTACAGATGTGAGCCACCATGCCCATTCACTATTTTCTTCATAGCACTTAATACCATATGCTTGTCCTGTCTATGAATTTTGCTTGTTTCAATATCTGTTTCCCTCTTCTGGAATGTAAGCTTCTGAGTGTAATGAAGGAGCAGGGGCTTTGTTCACCATTGTATTCCCAGTGTTAGAACAGTGCCTTGCACACTGTGTGTCTTCAATAAAGATCTGGTCAATAAATCAATTTCTTTAATTCTATACCTATATTTTATGGATGAGGGAGCTAAGGATCACAAACGGGAAGTGATTGGCAAGAAATCACATTGCTAGTGGTAGTGATGGGACTTGATTTCAGGTCTCAGCCTCCCAGGCTGGTTCTCCCATGCCACACCATTTTAATCTTTCACAGATTTACCTCTTTCCCTCTCTTCCTTTTTTCCCCTATGTCTAAAAGTCTTTACGGGCTATGCTAAGATGGGCACACCAAGTCTTAATAGCTCTGACCTACTCTTTCCACCATCAAATTCCTATCTTATCTGTTTGATTTGTTCAACAGTACAAGAATGCCTACTGGGCCGGGCGCGGTGGCTCAAGCCTGTAATCCCAGCACTTTGGGAGGCCGAGGCGGGTGGATCACAAGGTCAAGAGATCGAGACCATCCTGGTCAACACGGTGAAACCCCGTCTCTACTAAAAATACAAAAAATTAGCTGGGCATGGTGGCGCGTGCCTGTAATCCCAGCTACTCGGGAGGCTGAGGCAGGAGAATTGCCTGAACCCAGGAGGCGGAGGTTGCGGTGAGCCAAGATCGCGCCATTGCACTCCAGCCTGGGTAACAAGAGCGAAACTCAGTCTCAAAAAAAAAAAAAAAAAAAAAAAAAAAAAAAAAAAAAAAAAAAAAAAAAAAAAAAAAAAAAAAAAAAAAAAAAAAAAAAAAAAAAAAAAAAAAAAAAAAAAAAGAATGCCTACTATGTGATGGGATGAGGATGCAACACTAAGCAAGACAGAAACAATCCTTGCCTGGTGGAGATGGTATCTACCTCACATAGGATTTATAGTGCTTGGCATACAATGCTCAATAAAGATGGGCCTATAACTCACTGAACAAAAAAGAGTGAGTGATTTTCCCACTGAAGGTGTAGAGAAGGAAGTTAGGTGGTTCTCACAGAACACTCACTTCCCTGGAGCAACTGACAATTCATTTCTCTCTGTAGCTGCCTTGCCTTGCTCCTGCCTCTGCTTCTGGAGGTGGCCTTGGCCCCAGGGTGGGCAGAGGACTAGCCCAGTGTACCTACTCTTGGCAGTTCAGTGTCTAGATGCTAAACTTTCCATGGCTCAGTCCTATGGTATTGGAATAGCTGATCCCAATCTGTGGTGTTGGCTCTGACACCATGCTATTGTGAAGCAAAAGTGACCATACTGGCCTCTGATGACAGGCAGCTGTGCCTTACCAGAACTTTATGCTACTTCTTTTTGCTGTGGATAAAAGGGCATTCACTGGCAGTTTCCAAGGATGCTAGGTGACATTTACATACATCCTGACACCTGGGGTGACACTAGTCATGTCTCATACATTTACCAAAAGTAACCTTTTTGGCCTCTGCCCGATCACTTGAAGATGCCTATCCACGCAAGGACAAAGACTCTGCCCTACCTCCAACTTCAGGAGCCACACACTCATCTTTAAAGCCCATGGACACTAGGTATTTTTCATCCTTCCTTCAGTGTTTGCCTTTCAGTAGTTAGAAAACCTTGACCCCACTGACAGGCCTAGTGGGAAGGCCTTAGCCACTTGGGGGTGGCAGTGGCTGTAAGGCAAAAGAGCCAATGAGGTTGAGAGTATTGTTTAGGCTGGACTTGGCTGCTCTCCAGCTATGAAAGAAGGTTAAGGTCATTTGGGGGGTGGGGAGGGAGGAGCCTGGGAAAAGAACTACTGGCCACACCTCTGGGTTCTCTGCTGGTTAGGTTCTATTTACTTCTCAAAAGCAAATTACTCACAGCTCAGTGGCCAGCAGTTCTCTTGGCCATGGTAACTCCAGTCAGAAACTGGAGACCAGGCTAGGCTCACCCTGCATTGCAGGAGAGCAGATGAAAGGAACCCGGGAAACCAA